CAGCTCACCCAGGGCAAGCGCCTTTTAAAGTGACATGACCCTGAACACACAATATTTACATATGGGAGTAAAGCACCACCTTAATCATGCATAAATGCTGTGCATAATGTAAGATAAAACATAGAATTCATTTGTATACATACATGCTTTCTGGTGAATTCCTAAAAGGTGGAAGTTTTCTGCCTGGTTGCCTTATTTTCTTCCATCTGATGTCCTGGAAAATGCTTTATGATTCGTCCACCCTCTTCCACATGCATTATACATATACAATAGAAAAGACGTTGTCCATACACCATCCAAATCGCAAAGCCAAGTATTTAGTATGCAATTCAAGGAGACTCTACCAACATCATTATCATCATCATCACCATCACCATCATCATCAACATCATTATCATCATCATCATCAACATCATCAACATCATCATCATCATCATCATCACAGTACTGGTGGCTAACATGCACTGGATTCTTTCCAGGTGCCAAGCACTGTGTTAATTGCTTTGCATATGCTATTGTTTATTAGTTAATAATTGTCTCACGGTGCCAGAAATACAAAGTTTCTATTATGAAACATGTGTATTAAAATATGGAAAATATGTTAAAATTCTAAAATGCTAGGAGAATGTCTATATCAGTGGATCTTCACACTTGGGGATGTTGTGGCTGGTTTCCTTTTATGTTCTGGGGAAGTAAATCCTGTCTATGTTATTTTCTTAGTGCAGGTGAGTGGGAAAGACTGCTGCCTGCAGCAATCTTTTGGAGAAACCCAAGGACAAATTTATTTTTTAATTCTCTGGTTGAGAGAACTGTTGGTTGTGAGTTGAGCCTCTGGTGGACAGTGGCTTTACTGTGCTGGGATAATTTGGACGCAGCATTAAATAAAGCAATCAAAAAGAAAATTCCTCTGAAACTCTCACTGGTATTTAATATTTTATTCATTCCCATGTTATTGTGTTTTGCCTGTGGTAAAACAGCCTCCAAGGAGTGAGGCATTAGGAGGCTGACAAGCGTTTTCCCATGAATTGCTACTACAATACAATGGCATTTTGTTTGCTGTTTTGTTTCCTTGTCTTCTAACATTCTTTCTGACTTTCAAGGAAAAAAAGAAGAAGAAAAAGAAACCCTCCTATGAATGGCAAAGAAAAGGAAAGAAAAGTTTCTTTTAAACTTTCAACCTTTTTCATTTGGTACTTGGTAGCATGTAAACATTTTTTTTCTCATGGTATATATGCTGGTAGTCTCTTCCCTTTTTTGTGCTCTAAATGGCCTCCCCCCCCCCCTCTTTTTACCACATAGCATTGCCTTTCCATTATTGATTCAGAAAATCAGCAGGGGAAAAAAAATCAACCGTGTACACATATTAAGAAAGAGAAGTCACAGAAAGATAGATCAAACCATCCATCTATCCATGCGGCCATTTATCTATCAATCCATCTCGCTACCCACCGCCTCTATTAAAATAAATAGCGGGCACTGTACACATTGCTGGTTGGCTGAAGTTGTGATCTGGACAAAAGGTCTGTTTGGGAAAAGGATGCTGAAGCTCTAATTCTATTTGTGCCGGTTGAAAATCAGGAGGGGTTTTTCTACACTTCACTTTTATTAGATTATTTCTTATAGATGGTTTCTTTTTTCCTCCCAGACGCGTGGTGGAGGCTGCTGAAGCAGTTGGTCTATAGTTGGAATAATTAAATTAACCATTTGGTACAACTTTTAGGGGAGAGCTCGCGTGTAGAAAGCACAACTCGGAACAAAACAGGGCGCTGGGGCTGGGGCTCCGGCCTGGCCCAGCCCCTCACGCCTTTCATCTTCGGGTCAGAATCAGGATCACGGGACACAAAAGACCCGCACAGGGGACGATGGGCCAGGGATGATGGGGGGGGGGGGGCGAAGAGAGGGACAGTAACACGGAACAAACTAAACCTACAAGGCCTACAAAGGTGAAAATGAAGTCAAGCGCATTCGTTCATCGGACCGTGCGGTGCCGGTGCCGAAAGGTCTCCTGGTACAAAGAGAAGGAGGCGCACAGCATCCTGAGCCAGAGAGGCCAGGCACCAGGGGGCGCCTGCAGACAGGCCGGGGCCGGGCCCGGCACCTGGGAGAGGGTGGGCGCGGTGGGTCGGAGGAGGCTGGGATTCGAGGCCGGTGGGAGCCTCGGACCGCAGGGCGGGGAGAGACCCGGCGCCGGGCGGGCCCGGGGGCAGCGGAGAGCGCGAGCCGGTGCCCTGCACTGGCAGCTGCTGGGCCTGCCCCTCGGCGGCTCCCCCGGGCGCCCCCGCGGCCTCGCACTTCCCTCGCCCTCGCCCCTTGGCGGGCTCCTCCCCCCGGTCCTCGTCTTCTCCAGGAGTCACCCTCCGACGCCTCTTCAACACCCAGCTCCCCTGAGCCGCACACCTCACTCCCCACGCCAACCTCCCCTGCACACAGGAACTGCCTCCAGGCACCGACTAAACCCCAAAGTTCTACATCTTCACCGAAGACTCATCCTCAAAAGAGGCCGAAATAAACCCCGCTCCTCCCAGCTCCCCGCACACTCCAGGTTCGCGGTTCGCCTCCGCCCCAATGGGGTCTGGGGACTGTCTGCAAATTAGGACCCGAAGGGGGATTGGCCGGCACTCATTTCGGGTGTAGGGCCGGGCCCGGGCGCGGTGCAGCGGCGCGGGGCGCGTGCGCTCTATACCCAGTTGAGACACAGCCCCGGGTGCGCCCAGGCGCAGGCGCCAAGAGCGGTGTGAGCCTGGTTATTGGCAAGCGTGGGCCTTGGAGCCAAAACGCATCCCCTCCAGGACATCTCATGTCTTTCTCTTCTCCGCAGAAGCGCTTAAACCCCATATAAGCGGGAGGAGCGGGCTAGCGGGGTGCCACGCAGGCCTATGCTCCCAGCATCCACATCCCCCGAGTGTGCGCCTGGGGCGGCGGTGTCGCGTTGGGAGAGCCAGGAAGCTCCCCTGAAAAGTCCAAGAGAAACCTGGACAATTGCAGCCTTGTGCTTGACAACCTATCCCCTACCTCCCAGGGCGGGGGGCGGGGGGGGCGGGGGGGGTAAGTCAGGGTGGGGAAAGTCTATGTGCAGCGTCCGAAGGGGCACAGCCGCCTCCCGATCCAAAGGCAGATTCATATTCATGAGAGCGGGATAAATAAAGACAAATCCCCACAGTAATAACACTTGGATTCGCATCCGTCTTTGCTGGCCTTTAGGTTTAGGGGACTGAAGACAGATGTTTGCATCTCTTTTCTCCTCTTGTCTGGTGACCATAAAGAAGAACCATTTAGAGCGCTGCAATTTGTTTCCCGCCGCAGTACAACCTTGTACACATTTATTTTCATTTCACCCCGTGCACAAAAAAGTGCACAGTGGTCACCAAGGGCCCTTCTTTATCAAATACGCATTGTACAACATACAACTGCAATAAAACTATCAGCCCTCCCCATAAAACTATCACCAAGCTCCTCGGCGGGTCCCACCGCCTGCACTCCCGACTTCAGTGCTTCCTCATGTCCAGAGGACGAGCCATCACCTGAAATCAGCCTGAAACTCACCCAGTGGAGAAGCACGAGGTTGGGGGGCCGCTGTCCCTCTTTAATCCATTACAGCGTCCGCTGCAGTTTAGTGCGCAATAAAACACGGTGGCAGTGGAGAGCGGGCGCCCATCCACTCCCCGGCACTAGCATCGAATTAAACCACTTAGTTTGGCAAACACTGAACGCCTAAATGCCCCTATAAAGACTTTATGAGTTTGTTACTTTAATTACTGACTTGTTACAGAGCACATAAAGGGGGTAATGAATGCAATAAAACTAATTATGTGCACATTTAATTCATATAAAATATCCAGGGTTTGTTTACACCACACGGCGATTCAACTAAGCATTCCTCCTCTTGTCCACCGAGAGGAAGGATTTAATGAAATAGTTTCCCTTATTCTGCTACAGCCTAACGAACCAAATGAAAATTACCCTCCGCTTAAATCATGGGGCCACCGAGGTCCACAAATCACCGCTCGTTTCTTTGTCTGTGCCTCGCTGCCAGCACCCAAGAGCCTGGGGTGTTGGACAAGAAAAGTCCCCGACCTGGAGCCTGGGCATTTAAAGAGCAAGGATTTCGTTCACTGCAGTCAGCAAACCTAAAGGGCAAGCAGACAGCAATCCTCTTTCGAAGGTTCGGGTCTTTGGAGAATTGTGGGTACCTGAAAAACTGGAGGCGGAAAAAAAAAAAAGAAAAAGAAAGGAGAGCACCCGAGAGGAATGGAAGAGGAGGCACATTTGGGGACACTTCATGCCCGCTTGCCGGTTAAACAGAGTAATTAAAAGCAACCACACAAACCAACAAAATGCAAACCTCACGCTAATGGAGAAAAACCCAGAACTGAGCGCAAAGAAGCCATTGGTTGAGAGTCCAGATGTTTTATATTCAAGAGCTTTACCTGGATGTTCTTTTATTTTTTAAATGGCTGGGTAAGCGGAGTCTCTAGAAAAGCACATTAAGTCAAGACAAGAAATGCAATTTATAAGATGCTTTTTTTTAAAAAAAAAAACAACCCTCTACCAGGTGTATTTTAAAGAAATCCACTTATCGTTCACATACTTGGCCCACTTACTCTATGTTACAGGGCGCCTGAGTCTTGCCAATGTCCTAGTGCTTTATAACATTTCATGCACTTCAGGGGGTAGGCTTGTTGTTAAATTGAGCGTGTAACGCTCTTACAAAACAGGTTTTCTATGACATCAAGGTTTGTTCTCCCTAACTGAGAAAAAGAGAGAGAAAGAGAGAGAGAGAGAGAGAGAGAGAGAGAGAGAGAAGAAGGGGGAAAACACACACACTATCTCAATTTATGCCTAAGGTATATGATCAGTTAAAAAGGCTTAAAAGCTCAGGGAAATTGGATCAGGGAGAATCGTCACCCAACTTTCATTATTTCCAAGTAGTGTGATTGAATTAAAGGGCAGGGAGCTGGTTAGAAGGGAGGATCAGGGGCTCAGTGCGTAATGGTGTGGTATTAAATTCTAATTAGAGATGCAGGAATCAATGATAGGGAGGTTGGACAGCTCAGTTCCCCAGTGCCAGCCCAATAGACGGATGAGTTATTGTCATGTAAAAAGCGCCAGCAATAAGACCAACCGCTTTGCTATTGTCCAAGTGGAAAGAGCCAAGTTTATTATGAGGACTATATGCTCTAGAGACCTCAGACAAGGCATCTCATAGGAAGCTTTTTCATAAAACTAGGCTCTGCTGGTAGTAAGGAGGCCAGTTTGGAGGCAGGCGTTGAGCTGTGCACATCTCCCCACTCCAGCCACCTTCTCCATCCTCATCTTTTATTTCCTTTTTCCACTTGGCTGAGCCATCCAGAGCCTTTTCAATGTATAAAATGGAATATTCTTACCTCAATTCCTCTGCCTACGAGTCCTGTATGGCCGGGATGGACACCTCGAGCCTGGCTTCAGCCTATGCTGACTTCAGTTCCTGCAGCCAGGCCAGTGGCTTCCAGTATAACCCGATAAGGACCACTTTTGGGGCCACGTCCGGCTGCCCGTCCCTCACGCCAGGATCCTGCAGCCTCGGCACCCTCAGGGACCACCAGAGCAGTCCGTACGCCGCAGGTAAGGACCGCCAGCTTTCTCAGCTGAGGAAGCCGCCTTTCCGCTCGTATATAGGAAGCCTTGATTGCATTTGAAAATGGAAATGTGTTTAGTATTTACCAAACGAAATTTGCTTACACAAATGAAAGAATTTATCACGTTAGAAGCGATTGCAGGGAGGGGTAATTCACTTACAGGGTTACACTATCCTAGTCACACCCGAACCGCCAACAAAATTATCTTAAGCTGCCAAAATGATAGGCATAATTTATTTACTTTGCGATGAGACGTAAAGCTTAGAAAATAATTAAATAACAAAGAGTAAAGCTCATTACTGGCAGTGTCTCTTTTTTTAAGATCCGACAGCGGCTCACACCTCTTTGGCGGGTTATTTTTCTGATTCTTTCTTTCATTTCTTTTCTTTTCTTTTCTTTTTGCAGCGCTATCCCCCAACTTTTGGGCCGGGTCAACTTTTGAGAAATAAAAAGTTTCAACTGTGGGAGGGTTTGGTAACTTCATCCCTGGCTTCCTGATATTCCGACTGAGGTTTTCGGAACCTTTTCTTCTCTCGTTCTTCCTCATCAAAGCATTCCCGTGTCCCCGGCCTTCAGCCGTCTCCAGCGCGCTACTTCAACCCATCCAAAGGCGCTTGTGCCCGGAGGGACCCCACCACAGCCCGAAGTCTGCGCCCCTGTTTCCGTGTATAGCTAATTTGCTCGGGTTTTTCTCGCCAGCTCCTCTCGGCCACTCTCCCGCGCCGGTGTCGGCGGCGGCGGCTCCAGCACCACCTGACCTCTGGAGTCCCCACATTCCGGCTCTGCGGCTCGCGCGCTCCAGACCATTTTGCTCATACTCTGTCCCCTCTGTTGTCTTCCAGTTCCTTACAAGCTCTTCACGGATCACGGCGGCCTCAACGAGAAGCGCAAGCAGCGGCGCATCCGCACCACTTTCACTAGTGCGCAGCTGAAAGAGCTGGAGAGGGTCTTCGCGGAGACGCACTACCCCGACATCTACACCCGGGAGGAGCTGGCCCTGAAGATCGACCTCACCGAGGCGCGAGTCCAGGTACGCGCGCCCGGAAGCCGATCCGGCTTTGCGGCATCGCGCGGGGCAGGGGTGCAGTGCGGGTGATTCTACTGAAGGTCCGAGCTCTCCGGCCTCTCCTGAGAGGCCAGGTCCAGAGGGGCCGTGCGCGCGAGGAAGGGTTAGGGAGCGCGTTCTTGGCTATAAATTCGCAGCTGCAAAGTGCTCCCACCCCAGCTAGCGCCGCAGAGGCATTCAGGGGCCATGGGAGAGCCATTTCGGGGACAGGGAGTGCCCTGGGGGAGGAGTGCAGACTTTGCCTCCGTAGTATAAGTAGTTTTGCCAAATCCCTCCTAACTCAAGAGCTTTTAACTCGGAGCTAATGGCGTAAAGGTGCAGGTGCATTTTCCCGGGAACTGTGACTTGCAGCAGATTTGCAAAGGGTCTGGGATTCTATGTAGGTCAAGATCCGCGCGGTACTCTAACCTTTTAGGGACACAGGTGCGCTCAAGAGCTGGCCGTGGCGGCTCTGCCCGTGAGCCCCCCAATGGAGGGGCGGTACGCACCAACGCTAGCTCTTCCAGGCCCAAAGGCCAAGATGGGCAGTAGGTTCCAAGCCCAGAGCCCCCCCCCCCCGCCCCCGCCTTCTGTCTACCACTCAGAGTTTAACTTGAGACCTGAGGCCTAGAGGCGACGGCGAGTTTGGAGTGGCTCAGGAAGTAGACTGAGCAAAGGTCCGTCCAAATAAGGGCTTCCATTTTAGGGCCTTTCTGGGAGCTGCAGCCTTTTCACCTCTCCTGCAAGCCACCATTTCCGGGACATGCTCAAGTCGCCCTAAGAAAGTTTCTCAAAAGATGCACCAGCCACAGGCGCGGGAGTATCCGCGGCGCGTGGAGTTTAAAACAAGCTGAAATGGAACGTGGGCCGCCCTAACCGCTTTTCTTTCCCGTTTGCTTCTTTCTCTTGCTGCTTCGCCGCCTCTCTTCTCCTCTCGGGCCAGGTGTGGTTCCAGAACCGCCGCGCCAAGTTCCGCAAGCAGGAGCGCGCGGCCGCGGCTGCAGCGGCCGCGGCCAAGAACGGCTCTTCGGGCAAGAAGTCCGACTCCTCCCGGGACGACGAGAGCAAAGAGGCCAAGAGCACCGATCCGGACAGCACTGGGGGCCCGGGCCCCAACCCCAACCCCACTCCCAGCTGCGGGGCGACTGGCGGCGGCGGCGGCGGCGGGCCCAGCCCCGCAGGAGCCCCGGGGGCGGCGGGGCCGGGGGGGCCGGGAGGCGAACCCGGCAAGAGCGGCGCTGCGGCGGCGGCGGCGGCGGCTGCAGCGGCGGCAGCGGCGGCGGCGGCGGCGGCGGCCGGAGGCCTGGCTGCGGCCGGGGGCCCTGGACAAGGCTGGGCTCCCGGCCCCGGGCCCATCACCTCCATTCCGGATTCGCTCGGGGGCCCGTTCGCCAGCGTCCTATCTTCGCTCCAAAGACCCAACGGTGCCAAAGCCGCCTTAGTGAAGAGCAGTATGTTCTGATCTGGGATCCTGCAGCGGCGGCGGCGGCGGCGGCGGCAGCGGGCGAGCCGGGGCCTGGCGGGCGAGTGGGCGAGCGGGTAGGCCCAAGGCTGTTGTCGCTGCTGCCGTGGCTTTTTCCTTGAGAGCCTAAAGTAATCGCGATAAGAATAAAGAGAAAACGGCGTCGCCTCCATTTCAACCCCACTCCTACCCCCTTCCTTAACCCCAAACCAAACCAAACTAAACAACACACCTCCCTGGCTTCGCACCTGCCTCAGGGCCGCGCAGACGGGCCAGGGCTCCGCTTGCCGCCGGGGAGGTGTGAGCGGCGCGGCCTGGACTCGGGGGGAATCTCAGGGGGCTGTGTCTGCGTGTCGGTGTATGTCTGTCTCGGGGAATGTGTGTCTGTGGCCCGAGAAGGGTGACAGGGAGAGAGGGGTGGGAGGCCACAACCAACTCAGTGACTTGCTTAGAAAAAGAAAAAAGTAATCAAAACTCCCCCAAATTAAAAAAAAAAAAAGGAAGTAACAATTTTTTTAAAAACCGAAAGTTTTTAAAATCTAAGAAAAAAAATAAAAGTAAGGGGGGGAAGAGGGAAGCTGCGGCTGGCACTGTCTGAGGGATCCATGTTGCGAATCCCTAAATTCATCCGCGCCCCCACCCCACCTCCACCCCGGACAGCACAGACTCCCTTGGGGCTCCTCTTCAGGGAGAGTAGGAAGGCCTTCCAGACGCCCCGCTTCCCCTCTTGTCCTTGGATTCGGGCCGCTGCGGCGACGATTCGTGCAGATGGTCCCCGCGGCCAAGGTGACTTCCTCGCGCCCGCTTGCCAGCCCCACCTCGTCGAACAGCATCCCGCCATCTGCGCATCCGAACCGCGCACAGTTGCACCTCGCAACCTGAATCTGTGCAGCCACTCGGCCCTGAAAGATGCCCTATACATGAAATGCCTTTTCATCCTCAAACTCTGCAAACGATGTCACATAACTCGCAACTCTTCCCTTTTTTTCTCTCCTGACACCCCAACCGGCATTTTCTTCCACCAGCTTTTACTGAACTTTTTGGCACTGCTTTGGATTGGAGTCAATTGCAGTCCACGCAAATGGCTGCAGAGAAATCTACCCAGCAAGGAAAAGAGGCGCACACAAGTTTGCAGAAGTGTCTCTGCATTTCTGTTTGATCCGAAATGGACGCACATCCTGTATGGTGGATGGACTGTATATTGATGATTCCATTCTTCTCGCAGTTTAGACATCTCTGTTGGGATTTTTTGTTTATTTGTTTTTTATTTTAAAAGGCACAAACTATAGATATTAGTTGAATGTTGAGGCTTTAACTTTTTTGGTGTCTTTCTACAACTGTGTTCTGTGACTCAATTGTATCGTGTTAATATCAGTACAGACCGTCTCCTCTACGTGACCGTATAATGTTTTTCTCTTCTTGTAGTCTCTATGGTGTGTCTTAATGGAATAATAAGGTTCTCACGGGTTCAATTCCTTTGTGTTTAGAGAGACCACGGTTCAGACAATGGTATATATTTTTGTTATCAGGTGCATGTCTGTCTGATTTCTTTTTTATTTTTTCCTTCTTGTTGGACTATGTTTGTGAACATAAGCGTCATAAGTTATGTTTCAGATTTTCGAATTTATTTATATGTGTTAAATGAATGCTTCTATTTAAAAGGGAAATATTTCTACATGTGCATATAGTTTTCCAAGAGTGTACCATTAACTTGATTGTTGATAATAAAAACAAAAAGCAGGTCTAGCAACTGAACTATTCCGACTTTTTCTTGACTCATTTTTGCTTGACTTTTTAAAAAAAGTTAATTTAAAAACGATAACAGAGGACAGAGGAAATTGTACAGAATATCTAGAAGCCGCTGCGGCTCTGGAAACCTAGGTGGGTTGGGGAATCTAAGTTCATGCGGCTAAATCCAGCCAATATAAAATTTAGTGCTTGGGACAGCAGGCGGGATTCTTCTGGTCCATTTTTATTTCTTTCCCAGTCACAGAGCACAAAAGAAGACGAGGGCGTTGATAAAAGTGCTCAGATCCGTGCCTAGGCTGCGGCTCCGGCTCCGAGGACTCGGTAACCGGTAACCGAGGAAGCAGGGTTAGGCAGCCTTCTAATTCCCAGCTTTGACAAGCACTCGAAAGTGCGGCGTGCAGGCGCCTTCGGGACCGATGGCGTCCGGGGAGGGCCAGGCGGTCCAGCCTCCTTAAGCCCCCAAAACTGCTGGCACCCAGAGACACCAGGATGGGTGGGTGGGGTCTTTGCGTGGACGGGTGCATCTGGAAGGCACCAGCCGGAGAGCAGCTCTGCCATGTTGGTATGTTTGGAGAAATAACATCTACAACAACTGGAATTAGCGAGCGCTTGCCTGTACTGGGTTGTGTTCTCCATACATTATCTCATCTACCCCTCAAAACAACCTCAGGAAGCAGGTGCAATTCCTATCCCTATTTTCTTTTAAACAGATGAGGAAGCTGAGGCAACAGAGAGGTTAACTTGCCCAAGAGGTTCTCATGTATGAGGGATGGGGCCAGTCTTTGAGCCCAAGATATCTGATTCCAGAGCCTGCCCTTTAACTATACCGGTGGTTCCCAAAGTGTGGTCCCTGGACCAGCGGCCTCAGCATCACCTGGGAACTTGTTAGACCCACGAATTCTTAGACCCCACCTGAGACCTACTGAATCAGAAACTCTGGGAGTGAGGCCCAGCCATCTGTGTTTCACAAGCCCTATAGAGGTTATGAGAACCACTGAACTACACTATAATAAACCCAAATGGGAAGGTTCCAGCATTGGAACTGCATTGGGAACAGGTGTGTTTGTGCATGGTGGGGATGGGAGCAGTTCTGGAAGCTTCAGTGACACCCTTTGGGAAGGAAGGAGTCATCACCACAGACCCAAGATGGAATTCTGCCTCTTCCTTGGACTGTTCGGCTGGGTCAGCTTCTTCAAGCAGTTGCCCGTGTGGACTTTTGGTACTTACCTTGGTACCTTTCTGGCTGAGCTCTATCAATGGAGGAGCCAGCTTCCCTCATTTGAGTGGAGGCCACAGTCTGCCAACTCTGGTCTAAGGATTAGCAGCTGATCTGGTTTGAATTTATCAGAGCTTCTCACTTTAAGAATCCAAATACAGTGTGCATCAGATTAGGCAGGGTTCACCAAAAAATTTGAAACCTTTGGGTCTTATCAAACTTCCAATCGTTTTTCTAAAAAGCTTTTAAATAGTCTTTAAAAAATCTGTCTCTAAATGGCCTTCAGTAAATTCTCCAAGACAGCATTCCATAAACAATGGCATTAATTGTGCTGGTCTAAAATGCCAGCAATTTCCAGATCCCTGAGACCCCAGTCTTCAGTTGTAAATATAACTTAGAAGGTCTGGAAGAGGCAAAAAGAAGGGCAGGAACCTATTGACAAAAAGGGCATTCAAGGCCCAGGTAACCCAGTCCTGGGCTTGGCTGGAGGAAAATTAGCCTTCCTCTAGGCATTGAGGGCTGCCAGGTAAGCCTCTGTGAGCTGCTATCAGGACAGTGGGATGGGCATTCTGGAGAAGGCAAGACCAGGAGAGAGAAAGAAAACAATAAGGAGAGAGAGGGAAGAAGAGAGATGGAGAAAGAAGAGGAAAAACAAATAGCCAACGAAGAGTTTTTGGAAACCCCAGGGAGGGCCCTAGAAATCCTTTCAGATTTGGCTAAATTCGATAAGCTTCCCCAAATTCCCTTCTCCTGGCCGTGACCTGCTTTGAGCAACTTATCTCCAGGACAAGGGAAACTTTGGAATATGGTGAGGAAAACATGCTTCCCTCTCTCCACCCCCCCTCCCCACCAGCTTCCCAGAAGACTGTATTTTAAATATCTGGAAGAATCCAGCTCTAGTATTTCAAATATCAACTTCTTTTTACTTTGGGTCACCTCTGCCTCTGGTCAAAAAGCAAACTGTCGGGAGGCAAGCTTATGATCAAATGCAGAATAATGCTCCTGAAATATGATGGAATCTAGTGGCAGGACACTATGTCTCTTGTGTTGTGTCATTTCCTTGGAGCCCTGCACAGTGTGAACAAGCTCACTTTCACTTTTCCTCTCCTAAGGAATTTGCATTTTGGCTCATCAAGGCATCCCTTTTCCTGGCAACTCCGGGACCACATGTGACTTCACAAAACCTGCATGAGTTACTGCCAGACAGCCCTCTCTAGGCCAAGTCTCCTTCGCCATGGCCGAGTACAGGGAACCAGAGAGTGGTTTCAGGGGGGAGCCCATAACTCAGCAAACAGTAGCTGTCTGCTACTCACCTCATGTCCTTACAAAGACGGCATCTGACTAGATAGAGGTGGCCCTCAATCCAGGGAAAGGAACTCTGTGACCTTGGACAGCAAATAATTAATCCCTCTGAGCCTGATTCATTAACCAGGAATGTGAATAATAGTACAGACTTGTGAGGTTGTTGGGGGGATTACATAAGATGTCCAGTAAGTACCTGGCAGAGCAGGGAGTTTTCAGCAAATGTCAAATATTATTTTTAACATTATTTGATTATGTAACTCCTGGATTCTGTCTTAATCTCCCTAGCTCAAGCCTCAGAAGATTAAAAAGATCCCTCAGTTGTCACTTATGTCAATGGCCCAGGAACAGAGTGTGAGAGAATATGCAAAGTGGAATTGGAGAACTTTGCTGAGGGTGACAGTTAACAGCCTAGAATCAGCCAAAGGCTGACAAGTAATAACTACTAATATTTATTGAGTGCTTATTATATGCCAGGCACTTTTAAGCTGACAAGCTTTAAAGCATTCAATCCTCACAACTACCCTACTGGAAAAGTGCTATTCCCACTTTTTTTTTTTCTTAGGAGGAAACTGAGGCATAGAGGGGTAAGGCAACATGCCCAGGTCACACAGCTGGTAGTAATGCAGCAGGGATCCAACCCCAACTGGTTTGTCTCCCAAGCCCATGCACCTTAACAACTGTTCTTTACAGTCTCTGCAAAGGGATGAATTCATTTTAGCCCATGAGGTCCTACACTGCCAGACCTGGGAAGAGATCTCCCCTTGCAGAAAGGACTCTGAAAGGTAGGTGAGAGTTAGAAAGGGCATCAGAAAGAGCAGGACTGGGATGGGAATCCCAACCAGATTCAGAATGAAGTCCAGGGCATGAAAGGGGGCGGGCTTTGGGATCCCCACAAGGAGGGAGAATGTTTTCTGCAAGGCAACACATCTACGGTTCATAGTCTCTCTATGGTAAGTGAACAAGGCAATGAGTGGCCGGAGGCATGGCACATGAAAGGGGAAAGAACAGTTAACGCTGATGAACCGAGGAATGTTGGTAGGTAGACAGGAATGGATGTCAGGAATAGATGTCAACCTCTAGGCTCATTTATCACCACCATGACAGACAAACCAAATGGCGCAAATGACAAAGCCCACCTGAATCCTACATTGTTCAGCCTTAATTTCAGAGTGGCCACTCACAACTCT